ACATTGAAAAGTGGAAAAATTCTTTTTAACCCTTTTACTAAGTAAAACAGTCAGTACCAAAAATTTTTACCCTTTTATTTTTTGTCAAAATTCTGTATCGTGTTCCATTAAATGATACAAAAAGATTTGAAATATACACCTCATCATTTAATTCATGAGTATAATAATATAAAACATGTATAAATTAATTGATAAATATGAAGGTAAGTGAAGAAACAAATTAGGAATCTAAACTGAAAAAATTATGCTTAAAAATTACTCTAATAAAACGATGCGTCTCAATTAAAGAAATCAACTCAATGGGTTAAATGGCATGTAAATTATATCAAGCGTTGAATCAAATAACAACAGAATAAAAAAAATCAGATACACGAACAAAATTATTTTTAAATTAAAAAATTAATATTAATTAATTTGGTAACAAAATTAATAAATAAATTAATGGATTCAAATTGATGAGTTAATTGTTTTATAAATAAAGCAGATTCATATTGAAAAATTAAATGTTATGTGTACCAAGAGGTTATAATAGTATTTTAATTTAATAATATTATTTTCTTTGTATCACAGTTTCATTTAGACTTCCTTAGACAGAATATTACTAATTATTAATGGGGTATTTTATAACTTCTATAAAGAATATTACAATTTAACTTTAGGAATGAAGGGAAAAAATTATATTTGAAGGACACTAAAAAAATTAAAATGTTTTAATTTTTTCATGTGACTTTAATGTGAAAGTCAAGCAAGAGTCGAGATTATCTTTAAAAATTATCAAAAATGATGGTTTTTTACATTCTTTGTTCTTTTATTTATGCTAAACCTATTTTTTAAAATTATTAATCTAAGTCAGAACACAATATGTTGTATCGAAAGTAAAACAAGTATTAATAAATTATACACATAGATGTTAAATTACTAAACATAATTGTTTTTTAAAACTTCTTAATCTCTAAAGTAAGTAAGCATGTTATGAAGGATATCTAAAGTGTTGTTGTTGCAATTTATTTACGTTGCACTAGAGTTGTGCAATGGGCTATTGGCGACGGCCTGGGAAGCATCCCCAAAGATGATCCGAAATTTTGATACTCAGCAGAAGGGGTGATCTGCTGGGAACCGTGATTTAACGATCAGGATACCCAAAGCGGATGAAGCAGTAAATTAAATTGCTTAGTTACTAAATGTAATTTTTAAAATTTTTAAGTTAATCAGTAAGTAAAGTAAGTAGTCTTAACTACCAAATGTAAGTTGTAGCTAGTTTTGATGTGATTGAATAAGGTATATATTGTTTGTTTACGAAAAATTACATTTCAAAGTATACTAGTTGCAAATCACAATCATGTCACAAAAAATAGTCATTAATTTAAGTAAACAATAATAGAAAAATGATATGCTTGTACGAAAGGGGTTTAACAGCTGTTCGATTGTTTGCAAAGAGGAAACGTTCTGATCCTTTAATTATAGTTTCCACAACATTAATCACGTAATGACATGTTTCAGATTAAGCTAATAATGTTCTAACATTACCTATTCTTAGTCTAGCATACTTTAACTGCCAAATTGTATTAGCAACTATTTAAAGCATAAGTTTATGCTTAAAAATATGTTCTATAATGTTTATAGTGTTTGTAGGATTATATTAGAATGTCAGCATATTTGCTAACGAAATCGAACAATTGCAAATTAACTTTATTCTAATCACTGTACAAAATTACAAATACAATACAAGAAGAACATGATAAAGATGATTAAAATGTAGCAAATATAGTAAAATGTCTAATTAACATTTTAAGTTTTTAATGATCTGCTGTTGATACAAATATAAACATTCGTATTTGGGAAACGAGTGGTGATAAAATACTTATTTAGTCTGAAAATAAATTTAGCTTATTTATTTTTTTCCCTTGGATATCAAAATTTAAAATAACTGATACTGATATCAATAACATACTTTAAAACGCATACTGATATCAGTATTTTAAAATCATCACTGCAATCAAATTTGGGTATATCTTTTATCACATCATAATATTTCATTTATATCTTCGCTTGTATTAATTGCGCTTATATTTACAATGAAAACTTTTGAAAATTTAGTTTAGATTAAGTTTCAGGGTTTTTGGTTATTTTAAAGTAACTTTCGGTTTTTCAAAAATTTTTTAAGTTTACTTAGATTTTCTGATAAGTGAAAACAAAACAAGCATATATCTTAAGATTTAAAGTGATTTTTTGATTTTTAAAGCTTAAATAAAAATACTAAAGATGAAAATCATCTTAAAATAATAATGGATTTCGTTTCTTTAAAAAAGCATCTACTCAAATTTTTATAATTTTCTGAAAAGGGATTGGATTTGAAACAAAAGGCTTCGATGCAAGTTGTTATGCATCAAGACGTAATTACATGTTTATTAAAATTCAAAAACTAGCTTCTGTTTCCCAGATGACCAAATATTTTTAAAAAATATTTTAGCTCATTATAAATTCCATTTTCCGCTAGGTGCAGATGTCTTATAAGACCCACCACCAAAAAAGGAGTCTAGTAGGCGAAAAGCTCGCGTGAATCATCTGCTAAGGTCGTTTCGTAGGTAGCGGGACAAGGATCTGGTTGGTTCGCACAAGCAACTGAAAGTGGAAAGGTTTTACCAAAATCTTTCACTTTGCTTTCAAAACTATAAACTTTTATCTGTGAGTGGGATTTGCATGAGTTTGAAAGAGAGAGAAAGAGAGTTTGAGTTGTGTCTGGTCGCATCACGTACTAGTTTCCTAGAAGCCCACGTTTTGTTGCTTTTGGAGGCGGAGTTGCAGGATGACAATGTTTGTTCGAATGGAAAAAAAGGTGAATGGTTGGTGTTGATGAGTATTCTTCGCGGAGAAAACCGTCTAGTGATGATGACATAGAAGCTCAGCAGTTACAGTTAAAAAGGAGAGAAATGAATAATAAAAGTGGGAGTCCTCTGTATGGGGTCAAAGCGTGGAGGGATTTTTTTAAGAAAGCCACGTAGCTGTTTTCCTTAATGTCGCGTTCAGTTTTTAAAATATTTCACTTGATTTTAAGCGAATCAGAAAATAAAAGCCGTATTTCATATATAAAAAATAAAATCCATGAAACTGGCATTTATTTAGGTTCCAAAAAGCTAAAAAGTGAAACTTTTATTTTAAAATAATTATTTCAATTCATGTAGGGACAACAAATAAATCTAATTTCAAATCACCTGTGATTCCAAATTAATTTCGAAAGACAATAAGTAGTCATATGTATTTTACTTTAGTACGAGTTTCACGTTAGTACGAGATATTTTGATAAGTAGCTCTCAATTTTTCTGCTAAATCGACAGTAACTTTTGTAATTGAATATTTTTTTACTCTCTCTATAGCGTCAGAAATTACAATTTGCTAGTTAAGCATGGTATAAATACTTTTTTTAAGGATTCGGAAAGGTATTAGGAATGAAAGGGGGTAAGGGAAAGAGAATTTTATCTAAAAAACATCAAAAAGGATTGATAAGGATATGATTAGTTCGACTTAAGTCATTGGTAAATATCAGAGAGAAAATTGATAAGAACATGGTTAGTACTAGAGTTCCAAAAGACATAAAGGTATAAAAACTGTGTATAATCATTCCGTGTAAATTTCTCAAATATATAAAGCAAGCAAGTAAAAAAAGGCATGGTTAGCTGACATAATAGCAGGTATGAAATCTGGTTTAGCTCATTCTAAATTTTTTAAAGAACATTAGGGATGCAGATTAGTACAGACTCAGTAACGTGACTGATCCACGATAAGTTTCTTAATGATGTAAAGAAAAAAAATGCCAAGAATATAATCATTATGAGTAAATTCCTTAAAGATAAGAAAATTAGTAAAGGTTTGGTTTGTTAGTATAAAATAGCAGTGATGATATCTGGTTTAGTCAATATTTAAAAGACCATTCAGGATGAAAACCAGTAATGGCATGTTTATTCTGAGTTTTTAAAAAATAGAAATGGCAAAAACAGCTAAGAATATTATCATTAAAAAAATTTCTCTAAGTCATCAAGTATGTAAATTAGCAAAGGTTTGGTTAGTTAGTATAAGTTAGCAGGTATGATATCTGGTTTTGTCAGTACTTAATTTTTAAAAGACCATTGGGGATAAAAACCAGTAAAAATTACTCTATGTGAGTTTTTAAGAAACATAAGAGTCATAAATTGCTTAAAATATAATTATTTCGAGGAAATTCCTTAAAAGACATCAGAGATTAAAATTAGAAAATATTAGTTAAGTAATATAAAAACCCTTCATGTAAATTTCTTAAAGATATAAGGGAAAAAATAGTAAAGGCATGGTTAGCTACTATAAGATAAGAGGGGTGAAATCTGGTTTAGCCTATCCTAAATTCCTTAAAGACTGTTAGGGATGCAAATTAATGCATACATAATTACACGATTGATCCATGATATAAGTCTATTCAAAAGGTAAACACACGAGGAACAAAAATTACTAAGAGTATAATTATAGAAAATTTTGTAAAGATATTAGGGAAAAAATTAGTAAAGGTATGGTTACTTAGAAGATGGCAAGATTGATATCTGGTTTAGACCATTCTAAATTCGTTAAAGACCATTACAGATGCAAATCAAAGACATGTTTGCTCCACGTGAGTTTTTAAAAAAACATGAAGGATAAAAAATGCTAAAGATAAAAACATTTCCAGTAACTTCTTTAAAGGATATCAGAGGTTGAAATTAGTAAAAATTTGGGTGATTAGTATAAGATAACATATACGAAACATGATTAAGGTATTATAAGTACTTATAAAATTTTTCTACTGAAAATATGAAGCATTGAATTGGTAAGCGTTTTGAAGATTCATTTGAAGGCTTAAAATATTTTAGATTATATCTCTTTTTTTCCCTTTTAAAGTATTTGCAAGGAAATATAAGAACAAGGAAAATCTTCCAGATGTTTCTAGTAAACTTAAAGAACAGTTGGTTAGAATACGTAAATGATAGTCGACTTACCCTGAAGAGTCGTTCTTTTGTAAACCAAGCATCTTCATCTTCTTCTAAGCCTAAATCAACGTTGAGTTCATCCCTGGAGCGAGAGAGAATTTTTCTACGACTGATCATGGCACTGTAATAAAGAAAATCAATAATCCTATTAGAACAATGAATGGTTTATGATGGATAAATAATAAGAGACAAGTTCAATAAACTTTATAGTAAATCATTGGGCAACCCTTCACGAAACTTAACAAGCCACATAAGGAAAAAAACTGTTACTGAAGTTCTTATTTTAAGACCAATAAATGTTGACTTGAAGAATTATCGCTTGATGTTTGAAAGTGATGTTGCATTTTAAAGACACCAATAAATGTTTTTTAGAAAAACTTCCCCATCGCCCTCCATGTTTGTTTTTTCTGCCGTTCTGATAATTTCGAACGATAAAATAATTCATATTAATGATGGTAACTTTGGCTGATAAAATCTTTGGCATTTTATAATTGTTCAATTAGAAAAGGAAAGTGGATCACTTAAAAAAGAAACTGTTTAGTTAATCTGTTTTAATATATTTAACCGAAGTAGTATGAGTTTGAAAAGTGTTGCTAGTTCTAATTAAAATTGAATTATAAAAAAAAATTTAAATGTTTGCTTATAGTTCACTAACTTGTAATAAACAAGTTAATCTGTAAAAATATTAAGAGACAGGTATATTTTCATAGTATGCCTTAATACATTACATAGCTAATGTAAATCATGGAAATGTAAATTCAGTAATAGTTAAAATTCTTAACTTTATTTAATGGTGAAAAAGATGAGAAAGAAAAGATGAAAAATAAGAACGCAATAATTCGATTTTTTTAGTAATTATTATCACTTAGAATAAATTTCCTTCATCAAGATTTGTATGGAATTAAATTTTCTGATTTCGGTAAGAAAATTTTGCTGCATCAAATTATGCCTTGTAAATTGTTAGATATGTTACCTATATCATAGTTTATTCGAACATTTTTATTTTAAACGAACGTTCTGTGAATAAAACAATAATAACATGTGTCAGAAATCTGGATCTTTAGATTTTCTGAAATAAATCTGATTTGTAAGTAAACGCTCTATTAAAGAAAAAAATTATGTTTTAATATTTAATTTTGTAACAAATCGTTCAGATTAAAATGATGTTTAAAATTTAACATTGTATTTTAAATTGAAGGTTGCTTACAAACTATTACTGCAAACTAATTTGTAAACCTTAAATTGTTTTCATTGAAAAATAATAATAAAAATAACTAACTTTTCTTAATTGAACAACTTAGATAGTAGAAGCCTTATTATTTTGAAATTTCATTTCAGAAAAAAATACGAGAAATCAAGGCTATTTCGGGTAGAAAACTATGTAACAGTGCCAGTATGCAAATTTATTTTAATATTTCTGGTAATCAAATTAAAGCAAATTTTTCCAGTTTCTTAAATCTAAATTACTTAAAATATAGTTTAATAAATTAGTAATAACTTCTATAAGATTAAAAATAGTGGTTTTTCATAAATCTGATTTATTTTAATAAACCAATATGTGATTATTGTGAAATGAAATGATATGTGGTTATTTTGAGTCAGAAATATTAAAAAAAACAACAGTTGTTTAGCATCCTAAAAACTCTGAACTGTGTCTTAAAATGTAATAGAACTTTGTAAAAATAATTGTCACAAATTATAAACACATATTAAAATATTAAAAAAAAAGATTTGTTTTCCTTCCTAATTTTTAAAATTTGTAGCTTAGCGGAAAGTCTTTTCTTCAACTATTGCATAAATTTAAGATAATATTTACAGATAATTAGTTCAGATTAGAGTAAAAAAGAAATTATACGCCAAAAATCTGATTTCAGACGATTTGTTACAGAAGATTGAGAACAAAATATATTGAAACGAACTGTGGCCAACTCCTCGCATAATTTCTTCCTCCTCACGGTTTGTGATATGGTCGAATAAAATTATTCGATGCCGATAAGAAAGTAGAATATTTTGTTTCTCTACGTGAAATTATGACCTGAAAATTGCTAGATTTATTACAGATATCATAGTTCACAATAACAGTTTTCAACCTAAACTGAGCTTCTGTCAGCACAACAATGGTATCAGGTGCCATTTTCGCGACACGAGAAGTCACGTTCCATTGCGACCGGAAACGTTGTTCTGAGATACACAATGGCAACAGCTTACCGTTAATGATAGACGAACTACGACCTCGCGTGCAGATCACCACAGACGATAATCACACTACATATATTCTACGTTCCAACCTGTCGAACGATTAACGGCTTCACGTAGGCTTTTTGCATAATAGTTGTTGCATTGTGTTACAAAATAAAAATGTCAGTAAGCTTAGAATTTTTGAAATATTAGGCCTAATAAAAATTAGTGCTGTAGAAAAATTTTGGTTTAAAATAAAATTTCTGACATTTTTCAAGCTTAGGCAATGTTATGACAGCTGCTAATTAATGTTACTAATAAAGATTAAATATTTAATGATTCAAAAATCTTCAATTAATCTTGAAAAGAGATTTTATAGCTTTCATGTAAGCAAATTTCACATTTGAAAATTGTGATTTCTTTCGAATAGAAAACCAGTTATAGAACTATATATATTTTTGCATGATCTCTAACCAGTGATATGTTTTTAAGCAGTAACGCGGCTTTTAATGGAAAAGATAACATAATGAAGCAGTTTCGTACATAACAATCTTGCATAAGATATGAGTTTTTACTGCTGCGCAATGTTTCGTGCTGTATGGATATATATGTGATTTTTTTTTCAATCTTCTCTGTCCTGTCATTTAAGATAATTGCTATCAAAGTTTAATTTTTTGTATAAAAAATTGTCAGTGAGTTAGTTTTTCTCCAAATAAAAAATCCAAACGTTTGCTTCAAATTCGAAAAAACAAACAAACTCATTTCTGTAACAATCCGTAAAAAGCAATTAAACCTGAATGCCTTTCTAAGCATGTAACGCTAAATTGGGGAGAACTTGGTGATTAATTAAAACATTAAAACCTGTTTATTTAATACAGTTTTGAAAGCATACACATCATTAAAGCGATTTGAACATGAATATTTTCGAATATCCTTACTCTATGCTAAAAAGTATTAATTCATCATTGTGTTGTTTGTTTAAATATATTTTATATAAAACTAAAAGGAATTTACTTTTATTATTTAAGCGATATATATAGGCTCTGATAATTTTGTTTTTCTGTCGTTAAATTTTTTTTCACAAATTATAACACTAACTTTAAATGCATGTAATATTTATTGCGTCTAAAATTCCCTATTTTACCTAAAAATTAATATTACAACATTAAAATATACATTATTTATTCATTAAAATGCAGCTAATAAATAAATATTTTCCCGAAAATTTTTTTTTATTTTTCTTTTTCTTTTAATATAGATGTGAACATTAAAATACAATTATTATTGTGTAGAAAAAACGAGTTAGCATTAAAAATGCTTTAAGAATTCCGAAAAGGTTTTAAAATCACATTGTGTGCTGCTTCTGATATATCATTCAGTATTTACTCAGAATTTACTTGTTAATTTTATTCTTTTTTTTTAAAAGTATTCGAAAGAACAGCAGCCTAGCACTTTAATATCAAGCAACGGCAGACTAATCAACAGCAGCCTAGCACCTTAATATAATTCAAGCACCTTAAATAGAAATACATTTGCAGAAAATGTAAATTAAATAAAATCTAAGATTTAACTTGAATTATGAGTTATGAAAAACCAGAACTTTTTTCATTATTGTACTTGTTTTTTTTTCTAACGAAATAAAGTGATTTGACAGAATTCCCGATATAATAAAAAACTATTAAATAATTTAGTATAAGTGGATATTATAAAAAACTGGAATTATAATAATGCATTCGAAATCTTTCGATAATTATTTAAATTGAGAAAACATTTTTAACGAGAGCAAAACTGCATTATAAATAATACAAAATGAAGATTAAAGTTTATAAATAAATGCAAAAATCACAGTTAGAAACGCCTTTGCACTTTTTCAAACTGTTCCTTTAAAATAAGTCAAAAGACGTCAAAAGTCGACTAAAATAAGAGTGAAATACTTCTATCAAAAATAATATATTTATTAGCAAAAATAAAAGTGAATGGTGAATATAATAAAAAAAACATTTACTGGTAAATAGAAAAATATTTGCTACACAGAAAAATTAATAGAAAAATTTATAAATCCAGAAGCCTTTTTACCATAATTTTTTTTTTTGCATAATGATTAAACAAAAAAAAAAGTAATACTTAATAAGTTTTAGTTAGAATAAAAAATAATGCGGCAATAATTCCAACAATTTTCCAGAAAGTAGGACTAGCTCTTATCAGAAATAGTTTGTCGTTTGCAAATACAAAAAAAGTAAAATTAATGGCAAACGATAACTATTTCTTTTGTATTAATCTTTTATGGAGAAAGTTTTTAATCTTGTAGTGGCAATGGGACATACGTGTAACTGTTCATCGGAGAACAATGATAAATTTTCTGAAGAAGGTCATTGTTCAGACACTGAATGTCAAAGATGGTTTGTCAAGATTAAACGGACAGGAATACACAAGGATGTAGCACGTAAATGTCCAGCATTCGGACACGACAAGTTCCTGCTAAAGAAGAATCGGCATTTCCCGAAAATCGGCACAGCAATTTCCTTTGAATTGAATGAATGCATTAGAGAAAGTTGAAGAAAACAAGCATTACTACTAAATCAGTTTCAGTTTATCAAAAAGAACATCTATTAACCTATTTTTATTTATTTTGTACAATATTTCGATCTGCTCCAATATGATCGTTTTTTTTATTGTCATTTTATAGGAAAGAGTATATTCAAATCTAATTTTGTAATTTCCTGTTACTGCCGTCAAATGAAATTTTGGGAAAAGGAAAAGTTACAGTTTCAACAATTCTTCGATGAAAATTTGTATTTTAGTTTTAGTCATACATTTTACTTTCTCTTGTTCCCTAAAGAAAAAATGGGGTCATTTATAAAAAGGTTTACTCGAATTCTTCTTTTTGTTTAGTAACAATTCATGCATAAACGTTTTAACTACTATGACGAAATGGGGATTAAT